TGAAAATCTGACCACAGGTGCCCATAAAAATAGCTCACAATGATGAGCATCTGTTCATAAAAGAAGAGTATGACTGAAATGCAATAAAACCAGAATGAGTGACAATCCCTGTATAGCTTGATTTCTTTTTTTTTTTTTTCTTTCATCAGAGATAGGGAAGATCACACATAGACAAGTATTCTAGAGGGGCTAGAAAAAATGATAAACCATGCATGGGAGCATGTAGGAATAACATGCATTATTGATATAAAAAGGAGAGAAATGACAGCAGAAGGTTGTCCTTGGCGAGACAATCTGGTTAGCCAAAAGATGCAGTGAGAAGTACACGGGCCTGAACAGTTGCTTGCACCAAAAGGCTTAATTCTCAGAAATCAATGGGACATCTGTGTATAACAACTGGTGAACCATTTTCTAGTCCACCCTAAAAATAAATGTACATATTACAAAGACAACATACAGAGGTTTTCAACAAATGCAAGAACATCTTCCTAATGTTATACTAATAAAAGCAACATTCTCTCTTCTTTTTAATTGTGCCTGAATGCACTATTAATTTCAATCTAACTCACTTCTGAGGCTATAATTAAAATGACTTAAGGCTACATTAAAAAAAAAAAATGTTACTTACCTGTCAAGTTTCTTTTGCAAGACAGCCAAAAATTCATTACAGTTTACTATGTTATCTGGTAGCCCAACATTAAAAGCATGCTCTCTTGCCATGTGATTGAAAAGGACAGACCTATAAAAGAGTTAAACAGAATGTGAAATATCTAGGCATACATGTGACAATTATTCAATTAATGCTTACAAAATGCTAATTACAGTAAAAGTGGATACAAGCCAGCATCAAAATAAGCAGCAATAATCATGTTTCTCATAGAAGTGTAATTGGTTTGATTTCAACTGAAGTAGAAAGTTTTCAATTTGGACCCTGCTGCATGTTTCTAAGAAACTTCAAATACTCAGTCTACATATATGGAATACAAGCTGCCCAATGAAAATTAGAAATGCTATTTTGATTCATATTTTTATTATAGCTCGTTTGTTAAATTGTACAAACAAACCACCTGTTTCAAACATGTATCTTGAGAAGTAATAATAAAAGGTTATTTCTCAGCTTGCTCTTTACTCATTAACAGAGAAACTTTACAGATCTGAGTCACATTTGCAATGATGTCCCTTCAATATAAATGGTCCTTGAAGTGCATATAAACAAATACAGATGAAGTTATTTTTCTAATGAACCTGTATATTGGTTCATTTCTGTACAGCCACTTCAGGCTCATTGTGAATTCCTGGCTGAATTACAGGGCCCTTAATGCCCCATTTTCATATATATGACAGGGTATAAATGCATAAAATGATGTGGTCACCTAACTGACAGAGATTCAAGGGTTTTCTGTAAAGTCTCTCCTTTTGAAGCTGGAGATTTGGTGGAAAAGGGATTTGAATCTGATTTCTCTCTCTCCACTTATACTAGGTGGAAGAGATTTAACAGGAGAAACTACTATTGGAGGAGGAGCTGCTCCTCCAGAATACCCACTAGCTCAGCACTTCAGACATACTCATGAGATTCTTGGGTGCTAATCCCAGACAGAAGCTTCTCAGTCCCACCTCTTTCAAAAGTGGCTAGAAGCCTACTCTTCTCTCTTTGACACTTCTGACCAACTAGTTTAGGATGCTCCTCACTTAAGTTTAGGATTTTTTGATTATCATTCTTAGGTGCCTAACTCTCCACATACATTGTACTGGTAGATACAATGCCTAAATAGGGGTAAAGGATTTCACTGGGTGGTATAACACCCAAAAGTTAGGTACTGGAAGAGATTTAGGGGCTAAATCCACAGAAGATACTCATTTTGCAACTGAATAAATCAAGACACTTCCCATTAGAAAATAACTTCTTTGAAAAGTCTGCTCTGTTCATTTTCTCACCATGCATTAAAAATATTTATGGAGAACTTCCAGATAGCTTTTTAAAGTATACTGCCAAGGACTTATGAAAAGTACCTCAATCTCATTATTAGTTCCACATTCCATTTTTGCTTCTTCATATGAAAAGTCATATTTCCTCTTCTTCTCTGCAGCTGTACATAACAGCTTTTAGCTTCTATCTGACAACAATTAGATAGGCTCCCTTCAAATACTTTGATTTTTAGACTGATCAGAGATGGCATAAAACACAATTCCGTTGACTCCTAATGCTTGGTTTAAAGGCATCACTGAAATAACTTCCCCAGCTCTCGCCCTTGTAGAACATGGGTTTCCAGCTTCAAGGATTATATCAACATTATTCTTCAGATGCAGAGTACTACTGTGCCACTGAGCCAAAACATTTTAACTCAGCAAAATAAGAATGGGGATATGATGAAGAGTTAAATAAGAAAATAAAGAAAACAAGCTCCAAATACAAACCTATTTCCTGTGAATTCTGTGTCACAGAACAGGCATGTACTACAAAAGGTTGTGTCATATCTCTCCCGCTGTTGCTGCTCCAGAATTTCTCTCTGTGCAATTAGATAAAGTACTTAAATACTCAGCCAAAAGAAAGTTTCGTTAAGATCATTCTGTCATTAGATTTCAAATGGTATTTATGACTATTTTAATTTGGTAACTGAATTTTGCAAGTTCAGAAAAAAAGCAAAAATTTCAAACATTCCAAGAGCATACATCAGTGATTTTCAGCTGTGGTACCACGGCACCATGGCATACTGTGAGATCCTTTGAAAGGCGATGCAGGACATCAGGTGGCAAGCCCAGGCTCATCCCTGCTCAGCTGTCCCTCCTCACTCTCTCTCCCCTCCTCCCACCATCTGGCCTATCTGTATGAGGAGGTAACCACTGTAATAAATAACTTAATTTTTTTAATGGAATGCTGCTCAATTCTCAAAAAGTTGTGGAAGGCTGCCCAGAGGCTAAAAAGATTGAGAACCAGTGGCATATATAAATGATAGCTTGCCATTTAGAGAAACCTAAAACTCATGTAATGCCATACAGATTTAGCAAAAACAAATATAAAATGACAGCATTATCTAATTTAGCTATTTTAATAAGTTATCACAGAAGGCACATCTACTTGAGTTGCTTAATGCACAGTAGACTAATTCTACTGTGCATTAGCATATTAGCACGGTTTGTGCTATGCACGCTAATGTGCAGTAGTATTAATCTACTGCGCAGTAAGCCTGACACAAAAAGCATGTAATTGCACTTATGGGAAGTATAGCAGCCTACTGTGTGTTTATTTAGTACCTAATTATACAAGTCCTAAATTTAATGAGCAGTAGGCACTGTGTATTAATGAACATGTAGATGTGCCCAGAATGTATTAAAATAATGGTTTATATGTGAAACTCAAATTAGCAATGGTACAAGGTAAATTTTAAATTTGATCCTAAACGTCCTTAATATAACCACAGACAGGCCAAAGGACATTTTTCTGTATACAAGAGAGATCACAAAGTATATCAGTTTCTACAAAGGGTTATGGGGTTTAAGGAATAAAGTAGAAAGGGAATATTTGACCATCAGGGCCACTAGCCTTATTTGCTTTGGTACAGCAGGTTGGAAATTTCAAAACATCTGGTCATGGAAGTTTAGCAGCAAAGAAAACTAACAGATCTTATTGTGACAAATCTCAGAGTATCACTGTAGCAATGTGATAGCAACGTTTGGAAGAAGCATTCCTTTTTTGTCCATGTCAGGACAATGTTTGTAACCGCGTGGAGAGCTTACTGTATTTCCTCACATACCTCTCTCCCACCTTGCTTTTGGAAGGCAGAATGTAGAGGGAAAAGGTTTTCCAGGGTCATGGTCTAAGCACTGGCTTTTTCATGGAGAAGCTGTTGCAAAAATGACTGTGGGTTTCTCGCTCAGCCGAAAACCTAAAAGCAGCTGTGAAAGGGTTAATATTGGGCTCCATCCTTGCTTACTGAGAGAGAAGCTGACAGCCATTTTGCAGCTTAACCCATTTAGCATCTTTAGGCTTCTATTCCAGGGAAGAAAACCAGGTCACATCTTCTCCCCACTTAAGATGTACAACCCAAATTTGGAAGAATGGTTTTCTGGGGGAAAGTGTATAGGGTATGTGAAGAAATATGGTAGCCTTCGGCCTAAAATTTCTCATTTTTGTTGTCTGATAGTGTAGATGGTGTTCATTCCCTGTACAGAGTGGAGCTGCTGCATTCTCTAGAATGCTCCTTCTCGATGATCAGCCATCTCTGCCGCCTGGCAAGTGCTGGGACTGCGACAATTGATAAGTCAAAGCACCTCAGCCTATTCCTACTCATTTCTCAGACAAAATCCTATGCTTCGCCTCATATCCTCAAGGTCCATCTCAGACTTTATTATGAAATATGTTCCAAGGTTAGAACTCACTGGAAACACCAGGCCCCAAGTTTATAGAAATCAAGGGTTAGTACTGGCTAGAAGTCTTCCCCAGTTAATCTCAATTTTTGAAGTGAGGCATGGGGAGAGGATCAGTGATAGTCAGCTTTGAAAATTCACCGAAGGTGCATTCCCACATGCAGGGACATGCATTTGCTGTGACACAAACAGTGGTGGCACGTATCTGTGCCACCGCTTTGAGCACCAGGACATGCCCCCGCATGCGTGCTATGGCATGTACCAAATTGTCCCGGGTAGGGTAGGGGAGGCTGGGGCCAGCACCCCTGCTGGCCCCAGCAGCCTAACCTGGGGGCCTCCTGGGGCAGCAGTGGTGCCAATCCAGCCACACGGAGCCTGGCCAGCAGCTACAACATGGCTCTGGACAGTCAGGCTCCGTTTCTGGTGGCACATGCTGCTGCCATGTATGCCACACTGCTGCTTCTTTGTGGCTTTTTTTGTTTATTTGTTTTTTTACGCTGGGATCTCCCGGTGTCAAATTTTGGTCCCGACCTAATTAGCAGTGTGGTGAATAGGTGCATATGCACCTCATGCGGTTTGTAGTGCCTCAAACAGCTTTGAGGCAGCACAAATTACAGCTGTGCACTCATCTGGATGTGCCCCAGGGGTTCAATCATTTTACACCCAATAATGAAAGTGCTACTGAGAACATTCACTCTTTTTGACCTCTTAGCAACTATGCCTTATGTTTTTAGCCAACCCCTGTTAACCCTTCAAAAACTGTAAAATTATTAAAAACAAAATAGATTAATCTATACCACCTGGTGTATATCATCTTGAAAATCATACTCGGTACTAAGTGCTTACAGCAAGAGATCAAAAGAACTTTCTCCAAAGACCTAACAGCCCAGACCAAATGTCTACCATCAGGTTCCTTAAAAGTATCAGTTCAAATTCCACCAAGCTGAATCATGAAG